CTCCTCTCTACACGGGAAGTCACACAAAACAGTCAGATATGCAGAAGCACGATGTTTAGTATCTCTAGTGTTCCAACAGTGATGAACCGAAAACTTTCAGTGGAACCTAAGTCCACACCTTCAGAAGCATTCTCACCAAAAACTCTGTTTCTTCTAAGTGACTTGGATATATGGAATTGTGTGTGAGTTTGGAGCTGATTGTTATATCCTGATGTACAACTAAGCTTAAGTAATACCCAAGACAAAGGTGAACTCCTTTCTCTACAGGCAACCTCCATAGTTCTCATGCTGCTTAGCATTAAAATAACAAAGTTCTTTCTACACAGAGATGACTCGTTTTTCAAAGTGGTAATGCCTCTCATTTTCCTCTCCAATAATATGGTCTCTTTATCTTGTTTACATGAAATAGAGCCACAAAATTTAATTTTAAAAAAAAGGAAGCTGTCCAGAAAATGCACATCTTGGAAGAAGAACAGCAAAACAAAGGTAGTCATCTTTAGAGAAATTATTAAGAGATCAAACTCAAAGGGCTTCATTTTTCCAAATCATCTTGGGCTATTGTTAGAATTGTTACACTGGCTTTCAGATTTCCTTTTTTTCCCACCTGTAACTGAGTAAGTGATTATGAGGCTGATAAAGGGCAGAAAGATGTTTCCACATTAAAACAGTTAACAGATGTTAAATAAGCACAGCAAATAGCCACTAGGCAACCAATAACTGATCCTGGGTAAGTAAGAAAAATGTTGCTTTGCTGATTTTATTACCCATGTACCTCCTGGGGTCATGGGGGACTTGTAAAATATTTTGTGGGCAGATAAAAGTCTAGCATTTATTGGCAAGACTAGTTGAAGTGTATTCAAGGGGTTTTTCCCCCTCCTTAACTTTGATCACATAAAACTAAGTGAAAGTCATCTAAGGAAGGCTAAAACAATCATTTGGTGAGAGGTCAAGAAAACTAAGTTTTTTACATTTTTCTGACAATTTTCTGACATTTTTCCAATCCCACCTTCCAGACCCCACTGAGTAGGAATGAAATCTTCATTGTATAAAGGAGAGAATATAGGATTTCACTTGAACATTTCAGGCACATAATTTTCAAAGGAAAATCTTAAGCAAGTGTGAATTCAATAATATACTGAGCACCTACTATGTGCCAGATGGTTTCCTAGATACTAAGGATAATGTAGGAAACACATTAAAGAGAATGTTGAAGCTAAGAACTAGGAGTATTTGAAAATTTTGTTTAAAATAGTTAGGAACACTAATTTTATTCATTCACATTTCTGAAGATTTTGTTTAGTATTTTCTTACAAAGCTTCCTATTGACAACCATATTATTTCATGTCATATTCAACCACATTATTTCATAAGTCAGATTACTTGCTCAATAGCATGTATCAAATATGTTAACATTTTTAGCATATTCATAACACTGCCTCACAGATACAATACCATACATGTTTTTTAAACACTAAATAAAATATCTGTGGTATGTCAACTACTTGCTATTTTTCACATACTTCACCAAAGGAAAAAAATGAATAAAACTTTCATACCTCGTTTATAGAACTGCAAAAGCCTAATACATAATATGGACATGTGCATCATTTGTATGCCTCTCAGAAGTCAAAAAATGGCAGCCAAGAATTCTGGCCAAATTTAGCCATCCCAAGGATTGTCTGGCACAGACTGGGTTTGTTTTTAAATTAGCAACCAATATTAAATAACAGGAGATGTCATAGAAAAACCCAGATGCTTGTCTTAGAAAAATCAGAAACCCTACCAAACTGAAACCTGGGTTTTCCTACTAAAATAATGGGATGCAGAGGCGTACTAGCAGTAGTTCATAACCTCTAGTTTACCTCAGTCCCTTCTGCTGGCCCTGGTTCACATCTGAGTTTGGGGGCCAGGACGGATAGGAACTACAGAACCCAAATCACCAACACTGGGAAAAAGCACCTGAGTGTGATTGCTAGGAGGGAAAGATTACTGAACAGACAACTTGCCCCTCTGGTCCTCTACATGGTTCCCAGCTTTGAAAGGACCACCATTTTTAGGTTTTGAGTATTTGGCCAGTCCTCTAGTTTGCATAATGGAGTTAAACATTTGTGCACTGGAGGTTTCTGCTTATATATGTTATGTTCTAACAGAGCAGGATAGTTTATTTCATCTGGCAAATCATGATAAATATGATTCAGAGTTCATTGTTTAGATACTTAAGATAATTATTCCTTTAAGGTTGAAAAGGACCTTCTGAAGTCTTTTAACCCACTTCCTTTAGAGTCCCTTCTAACTCCCCCTGGAGAACAGAAATCCATATATTTTAAAGGTAGAATACAGAATTTTCTATAACTTCCACATGTAATTCACGCCAGCGTTTACAAGCCCCAAGGTCATGCAAGTCTAAGTGAATGTTTTTGCTTAAATATTCATGCTTCAGCTTTAGTCAATTCCTAACTGGACTTTCAAATCACTGGACATTTAAAGACTACTAGAAGCTTGTCTTTTTGGCCTTCTCTTTCCTAAGAGAAGGGATTACTATTTCCATTGCTGTTTCTTCTTTCCCTTCCACTATTATGCATCAGGTGCCTTCCAAATACTGGGCACCCAGCTCACACTGAACACCTAGGTCACCATTTTCTATCATCTTCGCAACATCTCCAGGAGGGGACGTTAACTACCTCCATCTCCAGAGGAAGAAACAGGTCCCTGAACCAGCACAAAGTTCCCAGGCAATGTGAGTCAACATGCAATCCCGTATTATTTTCTTCTCTATGTGCAGTCATCTAACTACATCTGTTTTCTCTTCACAGCACAGTAAAAGTATCACCAGGCACAAATATGTACCCTGGTTCTAGTGATTCTCCCATTATCTGGGTGGCCTTCACATCTCTGGTTCTGTACACCTTAGGGGGAAATGAAGGCACTGGCAGAGATGGTCTCTACGGTTCCTGACAAACCCATAAAATCTGTTACCCTAACATCCTCATTAAGCTTATGGGCCCAAAACCTGAGAAGGAAAGACAGCGAGCTAAGTTGAGAGAGTAACTATCAGATGGAGGGATTTGCTGCCCTACTTCCCCTGCCCGTAAGCAGTGGCTGCCAGACAGTCTGGGCAAGTTTCCATCTGGAAACATCTCAGGGCACTGAACCTTCAAAGTATTAAGTCCTTTCCCAGAGCATGGGGGACTTCACACCCTCTGCTGTTGAAAGTTCCTTTCCCAGTGGCATTTCTCATTTTCTCAAGCAGCAGTTACGTGGGTAAGACTGCCAGATTAAAATACACGAAGCCCAGTTAAAGTTTCATGTCAAACAAAGGATCACTTTCTATTACAAGTATGTCCCAAATATTGTATGAGACATATTTACAGGAAGGAGCTCTATCAGCAACTTTATCTTTCCAAATAAGCCTGGAGAACTGAAAATTTCTCAGAAGAGAACTTCAAAAGGTCTTGAAAGCAAGTCTTGAATTGACACATCAAAATAATTTCCTAATTCAGGACATGGTATTATGCAAATTCCTAGAAAAAAAATGCAATGTTTCACAGGTTATCAATGCAAGGTGCTGAAACACCGAGAATCTAGTCTCAAATAGATATCGGTCTCCATAGGACAAGGACTACAATTTATACCTATTCTATCTGTATTTCCAGTAAAACAAGAAAACTTGCTATTATTGATGACATGGTTTTAAAAGAAAACAAAAGATTTTCCTCCCTAAATCTCCTTGAAAGAATACTTACATGATTTGAAATTAAGTGCTTAACTTTCAAACCATGTTGTTTTCAAGCATCAAACTATCTAGCCAGAGTTTTCTTTTGAAGTTTCTTCACTTAATTGAAATCCAAAGAATTCCATTAGCAACTTGATACTTGAGCTCTAGCTGAAAAGGTTATGCTTTCCCGCAGAGAGGAAGCGCAGCAGTAATTACTCCACCTACTATGTGAAAAAAAGTCATTAAAAAAAAACCAAATACGTGTTTCCATTTCCTTCCACTTTTTGTCTTTATTTCATTATCTTCTCAATTTGATTTTAAGTAAAATTGGAAATGAAGGGGGAAGACATAAGAAACCCTGACAGCTTGCTCACGGTAAAATCCTAATTCGTCACTTATGTCTCCAAAGGGAAGGAGGAACGGACCCATAACATGGCTGAGATTTCCAAACACTGGCCAAGTCCAGGCTTTATTCTTAAAGTCCAGGCCAAGGGGAGTTTATTGTGAATGAGGGAAAATGTGGAGATGGGAAGGAGGCAGTTTCTCAGGACGCCTCTGTCCACCCAATGCCTTAATACTGTAGTAGAAACAGCTCAGTTCTAAACTGCGTGGGATCTGAAAGTGCTTCTGTGACCTTCAAACAACATTGCATTTAAAACTGCTAAGGGAAGACAGAAGAACAAGTATTAAGGCCGTGAGGCAAAGTTCTTAATTGGCCTCAGGGCAAAACTTACAATAACCACTTTCTGTTTTGACTCCTATTCTTATACCTACAATGAAAAGGTGAATATGATTCATTGCTTAATTATTCGAGTTTCCAGCATACTGCAAAGAAAGGTTGTTTTCCAAAGTCAGATCAGGAAAAGTAATATTAACAAATGGCAGAGGATTTCCCTTCCAGAGAGTCTAACATCTAGCTCTATTATCAGTGGTGATATATTTACAAATATGCATTACAGGTAATTTACCAGATTATAGAGAATTTGGGCAGAAATAAAGAATAAATAAAAATATATAGGAAGGATGCATAATCTTTACAAGGCAAAACTGCCCTTCTACTCCCTTTGAAATCATGAAAACAAGAAACCTGAAAAATAAAACTATCAGAGACTGAAACCTGTTATTAGTAGGAAAAGGTCAAAAAGGGCGCTTCCACTCACCGAAGATCAAAACGCTAACTTACTTTAAATTCTCTTTGAGGAGGAACAAATTTGCTTTAAATGGTGAGAAAGCACCAAGCAAGATTACTCAGTAACCCAATGCTCCCGTGCCCACAATCACTTACTTTGTAAATGGTAGGTAAGATCTGTTTCATTTTCAGCCTGTGAAAGACAAAGACATCATAAACGGCTGAAACTGCGAGAACAGTCACTCCTTGTTCCTTCCACAACATACTGCATCCTGCGCACAGTCCCGTCCCCAGGAACCAGCCCCAAGTGCTGGCGGAGCAGCCTCTCGTGGAGCAGTGTTTAACGTAGCAGAGCAAGGACAGGAGAAAGAAGAGACTGGCCCCGACATCGGCCCGTCCCACGATCCCTGCCACTGCCTCCGTGTGAATGGGGTGAGAGGCGAACAGCAAGCCGGCCACGAAGGTCCAGCATCCGTCCCCAAGCAGTATCTTGGAGAAGCTCGTGAAGAGGCCAGTGACGGCCGCGTGCAGCAGAACGTTGACGAGGTGGTAGCTCCAGGGATTCAGCCCGCCGACGGCATGGTTCAGGCGGAAGGACAGAGTGCAGAGTGGCCGGTAGGACTTGTGGCTGCCACTGTGGGTTAGAAGAGTCCCCCAAAAATCATTGTAGAAAATGTGTGTCCATGGAGTTTCTGGAAGAAGGTCCTGATTAGTCTTGATAGCACGGCTGAAAAACAAAATGTTTCCAAAAAAAAAAAAAAAATCAAATATAAAATACAGAAAGGAAAAGGAAAACTAAATGACAGTGTTTAGATACTGCCTTCTTTGGCATCTCTGTTATCATTCAGCTTCACGATGGATTCCAGGTATGCATGATTAATGCAAATGAGCCTATAAAAGGCTTTACACATAAATTCAGATCCTCCCCTTAATGCCTACTAACACTGCAATTAAGTTTTCTCAAAAGCTTTCTTCCTTGTTTAATGGAAATACATTTGAAGAGGAAGTGCAGAGCTTCCTTCCATCAGTGGTTTAAGGTTAATGCAGCAGTTGCCAAACAACTACCCTAAAAATCAGGTGGTTTATTGGCTAAAAATGCAGTGCCCAGGTGGGTGTGAGTCCTGAGAATCTGCATTTTTAAGCGGAAGAGTCTCAGCGGATTTACTCACAGCTAGGACAAGCCCCCTATCATAAATCAATTTGAGATGGAATACCTGGGGGTCTCATTACCAGAGTTTCTGATTCGGTGGGTCTGGGGAAGCACCACAGATTCCACATTCCTTATAAGCTCCCAGCTAATGCTAACGGCTTGCCCATCGACCACACTCTTAGCCACAAGGGCCTCGAGAGCTGGAGATGGCTCCCCAACCACCCAAATGCTTCCTTTCTTCCTTCATTCTGGAAAACCTCAACCTTTCCCCCTCTGAACCCTCACAGGACTATCATCTGTACCAAGGGCTTTATGATGGCACTTCACGGTCTCCTGCTTTTGAGAATTAGTGCAAGTTTTGCATGCCCAAGAGTTCCAAACAGACTTCAAGAAGGAGTAACTTAGTGTTTGCTGAGGACCTGCTACCTGCCAAGCACGGGGCCAGTCTCTTGGGCTACATCTTGTTTAATCCTTAGAGTAACGGATGAGGTACATATCATCTATGCCTCACAAGTGAGCAAACTGTGGTTGAGAAAGATTAATTAACAATGGTTCCAAAGTACATAAGCAGGAAATAACAGGGTGAAGTTTCATGGCCCACGTTTTTTCCACTATGTTGGGCTGCCCAAAATGTGCTCCACATACCACTGGAACTGTGTGATAAGATACGCAAACCTTGTAAGAATTTTAATGGTTATTTTAACGCGCATTTGAAAGGAAATTTAATGATCAAATCAAAGCAGGATTTCATAGATGCTCACTCACAATGAAACTGTTAAAAAGTCAACGTCATAACAAATATTAAAGAATCAACATTACTGGTATATGTGAACAAGGTACAAATGTTGAAGGTGGCATATAAATAGCTGTTCAGAGGATCCCTTCTCTATGCCATTATGCCTTCAGAGAACAGGGCGGTGCCTTGGGTCTTCTGTATCCTAGCTCATCTCCCTCTCTACTTACACAACATGAAAGAGGCACATGGGTTAGAAGGAAGTAGAAACGAGATATCTGAGGTACCTACTCCATAACTAGGTAGCTCTTGCCCCGTCTGATGTGAAGGCTTTCTAAGGGGTGGGGCATTTGTGTATCTGAAGAATATAAGCTTGGAGGCTGCCGTGACGATGTTTATCTCTAGTTCCTCTACTAGGTCTGCCTTCCAACATAAGGCAGGTGGGATCAAAGGCATTTCCACATGAATATTACCAAAAATAAGGTTGGCAAAGCTTGGATTGAGGGGACACATCCATGAGTCCCAGCTCTGTAATTTACTGAGTGTCTTTAAAACCAAGAAAATGCCACGGAGATTCCAACAGATAAAGAAACCCATCCAAAGTGACACAGCTGATGGAAAGAGCAGAGTTAGTATTCCACTTGGGATGAAATGACTGGGCAATGCTGGTTTTCAATTGCTTCTCTAAATTGCTATCCAATTAACCTCTCTGAGCTTCAGTTTCTGCAACAGTTATGGTTTTACCTTGAAATCACTTAACAAACACTTGTAATTGTTCATTTATCTTCTGTGTAGAAAAGCAAAGGATACTGTTGGGCAGATAACGTGGAGACCAAGTACAAATGATATTGGGGCTCTGTTAGCTGCTGCTGTTATTATTCTACACAGACTGGGGTGCGGTCTACAAAAGTTCCTTGATCCTATTAAAGTCGGCTTGGCTTACAACTTCTGAAAGCAGGTGCATTTGGGGTTAGAATTAAAACAGACATCAACAGTAGTTGATGATTATCTGCTCTGTACCAAAACCCCGCTAGTCCTTTTGCAAATTTACCTACTTATGAGAATTAGTTGACTTATCTAGATGCTCAATAAGAAGGCAGAATTTCCCTTAAAGTCATATCTTAAAATAGTACTCAATGTGGCAGAGATAGACAGTTGTACTCCAATGTCTATTCTCCCCTTTTCCCATACTCGTAGCTCTTCTGTTTTTAGCTGGGTGCATGATCATCTGGAAAAAAGATTTTATTTCATATCTTCTCCTACTGCTAAATAGGGTCATGTGACTAATTGCTGGCCAGTGGAACAGAAGTATACTGCTACATACTACGTCCAGAGAGTGTCCTTAAAAGGTTAAAGCCGAGCATTCTTCCCCACTCTACACATACCTCCTTCCTGATGGGATAGAAATATAATAGCTGGAGTCCCAGCAACCATGTGGACCCATAAGGTATCCTTAGGAATAGAAGTCTTACCCAGCAGAGCAATAAAACTGAAAAAAACTGATGGTGGACCATACCAGCCTTGGGCTAAGTTCCTTCTCACTTCATGAGTATGAGAAATAAATTGCTATCTTGCTTAAACTGTGGCATTTTGGGTGTTAGCAAATTGCAGCTGAACCTAGCTATCAAAGAAAGGCTTTGTTACCAAAAGACTTACTATATCACAGTGGTTTGATTTTTCCATTTTAATTTTTATAATTCTCTGTGTATTGACTATACATTAAATAAATTTCCATATAAATTGGCTTTTAAAATATTAGAAGCAGATGTTATTCTAGATCCATTAAATTAAGACACCCTGCTATGACATTCATCAAGAGTCTAACCCAGAAGTAACTGCTTAAGACTTGATAGGTTATAATTAAAATTTAAAAGAAATGTGAAAAACTGCCAAAGTGCCAAACCGTGTTGTCAGACCTGCTGTCAAGCAATTCAGAATGAAAAGCCCACTGGCCTCTACTAAACATTAACCTAGATATTGATGTGAATTTCTCTATTATCTTTGCACCAACACTCGTACTATCAAAGTCAGGGCAAGAGACAACTCGACAGCAAAGCATTCTGGGACAATGAGGGAAGCTGGAAAGCTCATTTTGTTTAGAATACCAAATGTTGAGCCTTTCAGTAGCAGGTCCTTATAGGATGGAGACCCATGTTCCCCAGACCAGATTTTCTACATGCTATTTATTAGTTCAGCTCCATAACCAACTTTTTGAGGAGAAAAAACAAACCCCCCACAGACATTCAAAAATCTGTTCAAAGCTGCCAGAATTTCTTTTATTTATAGCAATAAATCTAGTAATCTGTAGCAGCCAACAAGATTTTTTTCTAACTCTCACAAGAGTTGCAAAACCAAGAACAAATTTCACAATGAAATTTGAAAAAGCTTTGATGAGACTCAGGCCTAAATTTACACTGTGGATAAATAAAATTAAGGAGCAAACAGTGTTAATGAAACAAAAGCAGAAGTGCAAAGGCCTGTCTCACCCATGCACAAAACACACTGTCCTCGATAGGCTGCAGTACGATGAGATTCTCTTGCAGGGGTTACCTGCTTAGGCAGGCTTTTATTTGATCAATGAACATTATGGCAAAAGAACATGAAATGAGACTAAATTGTACGGGGCTTTAGTATATAAGTCATGTCACACATGCAAGTCAGTGATAAGAGATGCATTACACATCCCTCATATCATATTCAGAAAAACAGGAACCAAAAGGGCTTAATGGAATCTGAATAATCTGCCAGAAAAAATGAGAAGTAAAGGTAGTCGTATAACATTATGCATAATAGATTTTCATCTATTTGCATTTTCTTACATGAGTCCAAACTGGAAATAATAAAATCCCTTCTGCTTTTTTTCAGCGAATGAAAAACCTTAACTCAAAACAAAATGTCCTGCTGATATAATTTCTGAGGTTCCTTCTGTGAATTGGTATTGAAAATTCAGAAAGACACTAAGGAATTGGGAAATGTTCCACCCCAGGAAAGGTGAAGAACATCAGAGCAGTAGATGTGAAAAAGAAACCATTGTAAGCAGAATTCCCCAGAGAACACAAGACTGTCTTTTGAAGCAAAAAGATCCCGTCTCTCAAGTTTTCACAGAGGTCTTAACCTGTTCCCAGTTTTGTTCGTTTGTGGCTCTTTGTTTTTGCTGTCTTACGATTTTTCCTTTAGGAAATGCTGACAAAGGTCAACAGGACTGTAAAACTGATGAATGGTGTGACCCTGCCATCCCCGCCGTCCTTGTGTATGTTTCTCTCACTGCTATTTTTCCTGTCCATGACCTTTTCAGTCACAAGCTCCCACATAAATGATGACCACTAGTCCTTCAGAGCAGGAAGGATGCTTAGAGTCTTCAAACAACATTGGCATGGCATGCACGTCTGAACGGTTCTCAACTGTTCCACTGAAACGTAAGGAAACGCCAAACTTAAATTTAAAAAAGGACAAAAAAAAAATTCCTTTTTGAAGGATGGGTTGAAATTTGTTCTACAAGAGAGAAGAAAGAAAATGTCCTTTGTAAACCTGCTGGGCTTCAGCACTACCCTTGCGTGCCTCTACACGACCAGGCAGGGCAGTGAAATACACTAGTTGAGAAAGCTGATTCTGAAGCCAACTGGACTAGGGTGCAAGGTATCTCAGTTTTCTCACCATAAAACAAAGATAATAACTGTATTTGCCTTTGAGGGTCATTGTGAGGAGTAAATGAGTTAGTTAGAAAAAGCACATTATGTAATAGAACGTGTGTATGTAATGCAATACAGGTTAGTTTCTATTGCTATTAGTATATTACCATGAACCACAAAGAGCTGATGCCAGCTGTTAATGCAAACACAGGGCA